ATTGGTGCAAGAAAAATATTCGCTGGCATTGGCATTTGCATGTGGCAGTGTGATGATTTTCGAACCAGAACAATACGCCTAAATCCCTACGGGTTCCATAATGAATGGTAAAATGGTAATCATGAGATATCACCATAATCGACCCACCATTGTGATCGACTTGATGTGGCCAATAATAGTGTCAGAGGAGTGGCGGTGCTCAGATGAGCGGTTTTCTCAGAAAATCGAAAAATCAAAATGGCCTCGAGGCGACCGCAAAACAGCGCCACAAGCGTTCTTCCAGGACCAGTGCAGCAGAGCATCATAATCTTTGCTCAACTTTGCACCCCCCGCATTTTCGAGATCGAGCACACCGACTGCCTAGGGTGCATCGCGTACTATTACGGCGAGGAAGCGCGCAGGATAGAAACACTGTTTTGACCCCCAGAAGAACGCCACAACGCCGGTCGCCATTGCCGAGCTCGATTTCCGACGTGTCCAGTCGGTGTCGGACCGCGCACTTTTCAGGGGTGATTACAGATGATATTTACAACCGTTTTGGCTCAATGGCGGGGCGATCGCGGTGGGGAGCGATTTTGTGTGAAGCTGGATCTTTACCACTTTGGGCTGGATTGAGCCACTCTTTTCTGTTGTTCTTCAGAGCCATAGGTCTCAGGTCGATTCTTGTACTTTTCCGTCCTCACGAGACCGACCAGACCTGCAACACACACACACACGTCAAGCAATTCATCCAAGCATAAGAACCCGACACACAAGAGCCAGCGAGCGCACGAGGCGAGATGGAGGAGGACGAGGAGATCCAGCCGCAACCAAGCTACGAGACATGCAGTGTGCGGCTGGTGGTCCTTCACGACCTCGTTCCCGACGCCAGCCAGGATCGCTTCATGGATCTGGATGTACCTGTTGCCCAGCCAGAGGCGCTGCCAACGTACGGCGATGTGGAGCGAGCCTTGCAGACCCATGACTTTAGAGAAGTTGCCTTCCGCCCAAACCCTCAGTTTTGGTGTCCAGTCGTTGGCGTCAAGAACAAGTTCTACCCGTCAAACAAGACGATTGCACACCCCGAATGCGTTCATCTTTCTGTCAGGTTGCGTTGCCCCTGTTGCAAATCCAACATCCCGCGGTCGCGATTTCACAGCGCGAACAAAACTTGAGATTGTCTTCCGTGCAACCCGCGTCCACCGACTTGGCCGACGACGAAACTAGCGTAATGCAAGATGATAGGGACGACATTCTTGAATCTCTTAACGACCAAGACGGGCACGACGAAAACTGCCGCTCAAGAACGCCTCGGAAGCGCAGGGGAGTCCATCTCACCAAGGAGGAGCGAGATAAACTTCCGCAGTGGAGCCCTAGTACGACGCTCATTCCTGTTCGAACACGCCGTTGGTATTGCTTCAATAGACGCGATCCGTCGAGGCCGCCTACGACCGTGCCAGACACACCAACTCTCCAACAACGATTTATTCGCGCCTGCTCCAGCAAGAAGCGAGTTGACAACAACTTTCAGTTACGTCCGGAGCTCGGCGCCGGATCCTGCAGTTTCGGCCTGAGATTGACGGAGCTTGGCCAACACACGCACGGCGAGCTGCACCTTATTGGGTTCAAGCTCGAGCAGATGGGTCGCCACGACATGGCTTGCACCGACGGCTCGCTCGCTTTCAAGCAGCGCGCGCATCCTGAAATCAAAGAGTGGGTCATGGATCTGGTGCGCAAGGGGTGCTCGGAGGCGTCCATTGTAGCGCAGTTGGAAGGGCCAACTCTCAACCCGCCGCCTCGCCCTCTTTCAAGTTGGAACGTACCGTACACTTCTGGTCGCTGGTATCCCACCAAAGACGCAATTCGCATGATGATAGTCAACTCAAGCAGCGAGAAGCTACATGGAACCGACCAGCAGCGCATCGACCAATTTCTCGCGTCAACCTCGTCGTATGCCTGCTCTCACCCTCACTCGCTCTACCAAGATGGGCAGTGCCCCGGCGAAAGCCAATACGGCGACAAAAGCGATGTCATTTATCATCAATTTGTTCACTGCGACTGCCAGAGCTGCCTCGAAATCCCCCTGAGGGAGTCGAACATTCTGATTTTAATGACGCCTTGTCAGCGGGCAACGTGGGACGCCCTTCGTCCCAAGGTCCTGTTCCTGGATTCAACCTTCTCAGTCAACCGCTACGACTGGGCGACAACAGCACTCGTTGCTGCTGACGAATCAGGCGCTGTGTTGTGCCGCTGGCGTCATGATCTCCGACAGAAGATCGCGAGCATGAATATGCGC